ACCATTGCTATTCGGGACCTTCTTCTCCTTTCTCCCACTGGACTACCCACGTTATCAGACCAATTTCTGAGGTCTGGGTAGCCTGACAGTCCAGTGATACAGAACACCCTGTACCACTGTAGCCTAAGGAAAGAATGCAAACTGTCCATCAGCAACCCTTCCACTGCACACAGATCCTTAGGAGATAAAGGAGCCCAGGTCCAGGAACACTGCTGAGGCTCATGCCATGGGCCCTAAATGAACTTCTGGCTCCATCTGCCATCAGACATAGTGACCTTTTTGTTTGAAGAGTGATACATTGATAAGATGTTGGGGGGGGGGGGGGGGGGGGGGGGGAGAAGAACCACTCCTAACAACAGGACTGGCATAAGGAAATCACCGTACTGCAAGAATGCTCATCGCTGCCGTCTTCACAATCTGGGATGTGGTCACAGACGTTGTCATGAGAGAGGCACTCCCCACTGCCACACTGAAACTGGTTGTGGGAACATCCTTCAGCTGGGACGCGAGGTTGAGAAGGGAAAGAAAAGAGAGAATTTCAATTCCACTGTAGCCATTTAAACTCTTAGGAAGACTCTGTCTCATGTTTAAAAAGAAAATCTTATTATTCAGTAGTATGCTCATAAATGTCTAAAAACTGGTTCTCCAGGGACAAAAAGACCTTGAATTACATTGTTTGCTAATTCCCATGATGTAAATACTCCCACCATGGCTGACTTCAAGCTTCCAATATGAATTCACTGAACACAAACTTGAAAAGAGATATGCGTAATTGGCCAATAGAAACCAACTTCAGAACATCTTATGTACATTACTTACTGCAGTTGTGTTCATCAGAGAAGTCTCTGCAGTCAACTTTCTTATCACATCTCTGACTAGTGTTATAGCAGGCTCCGTTGGCACAAGTAAGCTGCTCACATGTTGGGTATCCTAAAGGAATAGAAATAGTTCAAAAAACCTTAAATTAAGCTATTCCTATAACAAACACTGCTTGAGTAACTACTGTACGATAACATTAAATGCTGAGCACATATTGGTAAACAACAGACATGGCGATTACAGTTGGCCTCATGGAGACTGTGGTTGGATAGGAGAAAAATACACTGATCAAATAATGACAGAAATAGCAAATTACAAACTGGGTTATGTGCTAATCTAGGAAGTAGAGAGAGAGTGCTGTGAGGGTGCATAGTAGGGGGATCTGGGAGCCCAGGGAGTCTCCCCTGAAGAATTCAACTGCTTTTGTCATCTCAGAGATGAAGAATAAGAACAAATATTACTTATTTCAAATGGAACCCTGTTTTTACATGATACAAATAGCATCTCGGGACACTAATGTATCTCCCCACATGCTTTGGGAGGTGAAGGGCTGTTTTCTTTCGCTGGAGGATCATACAGAGAAAACAGGCCTAGAAGACAGGAGACCTGGGGCCTGGAGTACCACCCAGTAGCTATTTACTCTTACTCAAAGCTGCCCATTCTCTCTGCGTCACCATTTCCTTATCCATGCATTTAGATAATTTACTTCACATGATAAAGAACCTCAAAAGGCAGTGTGTAAGTACTTTGAAAAGAGTAATGTGCTCTATAAGCATGAAAAGTCATTAGCACATTATGTACATATGGTCACCTCACTGCTATTTAACCAGATGCTTAACCCTGGTTTTCTAGGGTGCAGTGGAAATAATCAGTATATCTCTTGCAGGAATAACATGCTGTCAGACTCTCCACTGCGCATCCCCAACTTGAAACATGTATATTTTTATGATCCCTGGCTTCATTCTGTTGGCTGTTTATCTGTTTCCCCTGTGACATAAGAAAATCCTCTGAGAACAAGGATCCTGTCTTACTCACTTTAGAGTCCCCAACACAAGGATTAGGTGCTTAATGTGCTCAAGAAATGCTTGTGGTTGCTATTAAGTTATCACAGTAAATTTTTAGTTAAAAGCTATTAAAATATTTTGAAATTCTGCCTTTAAAATTTTTTATAAACTCCTCACAAATATGATACCTTTCTTGGTTTGACTTTTCTTTTTTTTTCATTAAAGATTTCATAATGATTTTGGTTGTCTTCAGATTTCTTTTCAAGTAATGAAAAGATATGTCTTAGTTAGAATCTCAAAGAGCAGAGAGCACAGTCTCACTTTGAGGTTCAATTTTGCATTAAAAAGCCTATTTAGCCGAAACCGGTTTGGCTCAGTGGTAGAGCATCAGTCTGTGGACTGAAAGGTCCCAGGTTCGATTCCGGTCAGGGGCATGTACATTGGTTGAGGGCATATCCCCCGTGGGGGGTGTGCAAGAGGCAGCTGGTCAATGTTTCTCTCTCATCGACGTTTCTAGCTCTCTATCCCTCTCTCTTCCTCTGTAAAAAATCAATAAAATATATTTTAAAAAAATAAATAATTTTTTTAAAAAGCCTATTTAGGGTCTCACAGACCTAGACAGATTCTTCAGATGATGCTTTGGATAGTCCCAAAGTCTCCTTGAAGTACAAGCGGTACACAAATTCTCTGCTGAAACTATATTAAATTTCTCTAGTGTTAACAAGTCATACTTTTGAAAAGAATGAAGTCTGAAGTAATCTTTTTCCATTTTGTGTACATTGAAAGGAATAAGCCTAAATATTCTCATCTCCAGAAATTCAAAAACTAGTCTATTAAGCATCTTTAAGTATCTAAATTACCAAAGTTACATGTAGTCAACCATGTATGAAAGTGGAAGGTGTTTTAAAATAACTGATTAACATTTTAAATTTTTTTCTGATTTTTTTTTCTTAATAGTCCAAGAATCAGCTAATGCTTTGGGTTATTGCTGCGTTTTTATCATTGCCATGGTATGCATTGCAAGTGTGCCTTCAAAGGGTCACCCAACTTTGTTTATTAATTCTCTCTTCAAGAGATGCAAGAGGCCAGCCTGAGTCCGGCAAGCAATTCCCTTTCTCTTTTGTGCTGGAGAGCTTGTAGAGTTCGTACGTTATCTAACCTTTTAAGGGCAGCAGCAAGCAGGAGAGGAATCTCAGAAAATTCAGCTCTTTGCAATAGATAAGATATCTGTCAGGAGGGAAATTTATTTGTGCTTGGATTGTAACTAGCTCTTAAAGCGATTATTGTAGATATGAAGGATCTGGGGTAAATATGCCGGGCAGGTCTCTTGTTCTCCCCATCCTGCTTTTCAGGAATCACGGCCATAAAACTGAAAAGGGAAGAACTAAAACAGAACCCACTGACATGACTAAAAGTTTGCTGACATGGCTCATCCTCCCCCCAACAAACACCAGGCCAGCTTGATGTCATCAAGGAGGGTATGGTGATGGTCAGAGGTCAGTAGTTTGACACTCGGAATGAGGAACAAACAGCTTTCTTGTCTCCATCCTTGCTGATAACAAATCTCCCTCAGTCAGCTTAGGACCTGCTTCAGCCCCTGCCCACCTTCTGGTCTCTTCTGAGCCTAGTTAACTGAATTCACGCCATATAGGAAAGATTGCACAGAGCTACCTGACTCCATTCAACCCTGAAAATATTTGGAAATCTCTTTTTCAAGGTACTTCCCCCTTTGGAGACCTGCACAGAGAGAACAAGTCCAAATTGTTCACACTGAGCAAAGTAAGAAAGGAACTGATTCTACTTTAAAGATTTTTATTGCTAAAAATGTTAATTAGTGAGTTTCAATCTACCCCAGGAAACAAGAAGTCACATAACTTTGGTAATGGGGGATATCTAAAAAAAAAAAAAAAATTTTTTTGTTTATTTGCTTGAGACGTCTGAATTTAGTCTTGTAAAGTTTCTTCTATGGAGCAAAGCCATCATGTAGATTAAATGTCCTGCAGGATTTTAAGAGCAAGTACAATAAGAGAAGAGTTCATATACAAGAACACCAGAGAAATTCATTCTAAGTTTTGTCTTAATGAGAAGATCTACAAGTAAGAATTAACTAAGCCCAAGATCTCTGAAGTTTACCTGACACAAAAATGTGAGGACACCCTGGTACACCCTTGCTCATACCACCTTTGCCTTCTCCCTTCCTTACTTTCCCCAAATTCCAAATAACACATTTACAGGAATGTTTTCCCCAAAACTGGGAGTTGCCCCGAAATATACATATGACAAATGTGCTTTAAGATTTTTAAAGTTTTTTCTCTGCTAATGATTTGGTTTGAAGCAAGAAAGTTCCATGTTATAGGTCTGTTTATACAATCAGGAAGGAAGATGCCGTTTGAGGACCCCCAGACTTCCTAGACTGGAAATCACTCACAGCAGAGTAAGATGCAAAAATTAGGCACCACTCTTTATTATCTTGAAAGGAAGGCTGTCAATACATTCTATTGTCAGAACTTGACAAAATGGCCATAAGATAAACTGATTATAAAGAAAGAGAAGGCACCTTAAAGGTAGATTATGAAACTTACTCCAAGATTTAAAGGAAAACAAGAAATTAATGATACAATCTCTGCCCAGACACAGAGGACTTTTCAAGGTTCTCGAGTCATCCTTTGTAAGTTACTAGGCAGGCTAATCCAAAGTAATCATTTGCCAGAAAAAAAAAAAAAAAAAATTTACTAGTTTGGCCAACAGCACTTAGTTGCGAGTACTCCCCACGAAGTTATAATTATTAAATTATAATAATAATCAGTACTAGCATCTACTGAACACTATGTGCCAAAAACCCCTGAACTACTCAATAAGTATGAACTCATCTCAGTCTATAACAACCCTATGAGGTCGATACTATTATTACTCCCATTTTATAGATTTATATTTCATAGATTTCCTCTCTGTGCCTCTCTGGGGTACACAGAGGGTATGTCACTCGGAAAAAAAAAAAAAAAAGGTCCTACAAGTGGTACCTTGGCGAACCGGAACTCAGTGTGGAGGCCATCTGATTCCACAATGCACGTTCCTACACTAGATAGAACTGCTGCTCCTAAGCTTCTAAGGACGAGCAAGAAGCCAGCCGATCGGTCCGCCTCACCCGGGGGGCGCGGCCGCCCGAGGCCTTGGACCATGTCGGGGATCGCCCTCAGCAGACTCGCCCAGGAGAGGAAAGCCTGGAGAAGGGACCACCCGTTCGGTTTCGTCGCCGTCCCCACCAAAAACCGCGACGGCACGCTGAACCTCATGAGCTGGGAGTGCGCCATCCCGGGGAAGAGCGGGACCCCGTGGGAGGGCGGCCTGTTCCGCCTGCGCCTGCGCTTCCGGGACGACTACCCGTTCGCGCCGCCCAAGTGCCAGTTCGAGCCGCCGCTCTTCCACCCCAACGTGTACCCCTCGGGCGCCGTGTGCCTGTCCATCCTCGACGAGGACAAGGACTGGCGGCCGGCCATCACCATCAAGCAGATCTTACTGGGGATACAGGACCTTCTGGACGAACCAAACACGCTGGACTCGGCTCAAGCAGAGGCCTCCCTGCTTTACGGCCAGAACCGAGCGGACTATGAGAAAAGGGTTCGGGCCCAAGCCAAGAAGTTCGCGCCCTCCTCCTAAGCAGCGGCCTGCGGCACCGTCCAGAGGAAGAAGGGATCGGCTTGGCCAGAACTTGTTTCCAGCGCCTGCAGGCCCGGCGCCGCTCTGCACAGGGACCGGTCCCCCGGGGAGGCACCTCCGCCGGGGCTCCGCCTGCTGCTCATGCCCAGCGTTTCCTCCCGTCTTTTCTATGTTGTTATGTAAAACTTGCTGTTATTTTAGTATTGATGTCAGTATTCCAACGGCTGTCAACTGATAAACTGTTATAAACCTCAATGAGCCCCTGAGGAGCTGGTTCCCTTTGCTCGCGGGCGCGGCCGTGCTTCCCCGGTCAGAGCCGCACACACACACCCCCCCCCCTCCTCCCCCGGCGGCTGTAAGAAAGGACATGGGCCCGTCCCCTCCCCTGGCCTCTGTCCTTCTCTCCGCAGAACCCGGGGTAAGAACAGGACACCGGCCCGTCCCCTGCCCTGGGCCTCTGTCCTCTCCGCAGAACCCGGTGGGGTTGCTATAAGCCTCAGATCCAAAGTCAGCCAGCCTCTTGTTTTAGCATCACTTCCTTTGTGTTTATATGGCGTTTTGGCTGTGTTGCTATTTAGAGTAAATAAACTGTATATATATATATATATATATATATATATATATATATATATATATATATATAATATATAAAATAATTTTATTAATATATATAATAAAATTCTTTTACTTATATATATATATATATATATATAAATATATATATAAATAAAAGAATTTTTGTATTTGAGCTAAGCACTGGGATAATGCTCCAGAGAATGGCAGTTTTGCACCTTTCTTCTTTCTTTTTTCTCTTTATTAAGGTATTGTATGTGTACATATCTTTCCATTGCCCCCCCACGCCCATACATGCCCTCCCCCCCCCCAGAGTTTTTTGCCCATTGGTTTTGCTTATATGCATGCACACAAGTCCTTCAATTGATCGCTTATCTCCCCCATATCTCCCTACCATCCCAGCTGTAATTTGACAGTCTGTTTGTTGCTTTGCTGTCTCTGCATCTATCTTTTTGTTCATCAGTTTATAATGTTCTTTATTATCCATAAAGAAGTGAAGTCAAAAGAAAGAAAGAAAGAAAGAAAGAAGCCAAAAATTACAGAAGAATGAAATTGAATGAAAGTAAATAGAAACTCTTTAAAAGATAATATGAAAAGAAAGAGGAGTAACCCAAGGGAGAAAGTTTTTTTTTTTCTTCCATTCAGTTTCCCATGAATGTTAATGGGAAATAACTAGATTTCAACAATATTCTACTAATGACTTCAATCAGGTATAATTTAGGGCTAAGAAATAGAGTTTTCTTGGAGGACCAGGACAAAAAAAGAAAATCAATTAAAAAAAAAAAAAAAAAAAAAAAAAAAGACCACAAGGCTGCAGGAGGCTCACCTCCTTTCTATCCGCCCACCCCATCCCAGTCCCAAATTCAAGCCCCTGATGTGATTATCATCACAGATTAGTACCTATGGAATGCAACAATATATAAGAGAACAATAGAGAGGTATTTCCTGCTTCTTCCTCAAAAAAATTTGAAGTTGTTTTCAATAAAAAGCATATACATAATAAGATTTATAAAAAGGAAACAGCCATTCAATACCTTGGAAAGAGAAAGCAAATATAGTCATCCAGAGGGCTAGTAGATTGGAGTGACATCCAGTTTAGTCTGAGCAACTTTCAGGAAATTGGAGTCAAAAATGGAAACATGTTATCTAGTTTTCCTTGCTCTGCTCTCCTTGAACTACTGGGTCTTAAGTCCCAAATCTCATTCTGGTCTCTACCCACACTGACCTGATCTTAGACCCACACTAGAAATTTGCATTACAGGTGAAGTAGAAATTGCCACAGCTTTTTTTTAAAAAAAAATATTTCATTCAATGAGTAAGTATTGCATACATATGGGAATACTAGGTACTAGAGATAAAGGGATGGATCAAGTCCCTACTCTCATGGAACTTATATTTTACTTGGAACTTACCCTTGTGGAAATGTAGCAGGGTAGAATGATAAAGGGTGACAGTGAGGAGTAGCTCTCTCTGATAAGGTAATACTTGAGCAAGAACCATAAGATTTAGCAAAATAAAGGTCATGGTGCCTTGACAAGAAACTTCTCTTTCTGTCAGAAGGTTTAAAAGGTACATCTGTGATGTGCTATGTAAGATGGGGACAGTCTCTGCTTCTGCTTTCTCACCTCGAGTAGAGAGGATGGTAAGAGCATGACTAGCTGGGCAGCTTGCTTACATGTGGAACTGAATTGGAAGAACAAATATGTTTTTCACGAGCCGTCACAGTCCTCAGAGTGACTTTAACCATCCTCTCTATTCCCCTTCAGCTGTTTCCCTGGGTAGTTTCAGCAGTTAGATATATAAAGGAAAATGTTTAAATTCTAAAGAACAAAAAGTCAATAGAAATAAAACTTCAAGGACAAAGCAGCCCCAGTTGCAGAGACCAAATACTGCTGATTAGCAGCAAGAAAGCCTTCATTGTAGCAGGGATTTTACCCTTTCTTTGGCATTCCTAAGTAACAAAAGAGAAGTGCTTCAAACCAATGATAATTAGCAATAGTTTTACACCGAAATCATTCTAAAATGGTACTTGATAAAAGCAAAATAATCTATTTACTTAAAGGGAGGAGATGTACTATTTTTGAGCAACCAAAAGTCACTGAAATATATTAATGGAATGACCCATAATTGCTGCATTGTTCAGATGTTTATCTTAGACTCTGCATGAGTGGTTTTCCTTGACGCTAATCCCATTAGAAGTAAATGGACTGCAGTTTGAATCTCTCTGCTCCTTAAAAAAAAATTTTAATTGAGAATTTGTTTAATAGCAGGTACCATTTCACAGATGGCCAGACTGAAGAGTAAAATTACTTAGGGGAAAATGAGCTTTAGCCTATTTCCCAGATTATATATATTCAGAAATAGTTCTCAAACAAATAACCAAAAATATAGCAGGCAAAAAGACTAAATGCAGTAAGAAACATTTCTCCTACACCAAATTTATTTCAAGGATAATCTTTTTATTGGGAGCTTAATATCCTTGCCTTCCTCACCAACTCACCCATTCTCTTACCTCCCCTCTCCCTGCCTCCCTGGGAGGACTCTCACACATCATTCTTTGCTCTGTGAAAGGAATGCCTGGAATGGATGCAAGGTGCTCAGTCTTGGAACTCTAGGATTTGATCTTGTAAGCTTGAAAGGGTGGGGACTATAGCCTAAGGGTTTGACCTGACAGGCAAGACTATCAACTACAGAAGCAAGTTTCCTGATCCTTTCAAATAATTAGGGTAAAGAATTAGTCCTTCTTTGGAGCTTTTCTAATATCCATTACTATATTTAAGTGGTTTCTAGGTGCTTACAAGTAGTGTATTAAGACCCATTCCTATAGAAATCCTATTTCTGGGAAGTAGAAAAATATAAATCATATTCATAAGCTGATTCTAATTTTGTCCTCAAGTATTGATTTCTATGCATCATGACTGCAGAAACAACAGAATAAACTGTTATATCTCACAAAATGATTTCTAGCCAGGCCTCATTTTAATTCTTATCCATGTAGGAACATTCTAATTTTAAACTACTTATAAATAGCTGCTATATAATTAAATGAGCCCTAGTCAGGTAGTTCAGTTGGTTAGAGCATCAAGGATGCAGGTTCAATCCCCGGTCAGGGCACATACAAGAAATAACAATGAATGCATAAATATAATAAGTAGAGCAACAGATTGATCTCTCTCTCTCTCTCTCTCCCCCCCCCCCCCCCCCCCCCCTCTCTCTCTCTCATTAAATCAATCAATAGCTGTAACTGGTTTGGCTCAGTGGATAGAGCATCGGCCTGGAGACTGAAGGGTCCCAGGTTCCAGTCAAGGTCACATGCCTGGGTTGCTGGTTTGATCTCCGGTAGGAGGCATGCAGGAGGCAGCTGATCAACAATTCTCTCTCGTCATTGACGTTTCTATCACTCTCTCCCTCTTCCTTCCTCTCTGAAATTAGTAAAACTATATTTTTTAAAAATCAATAAATAAATTAAAAATAGCAAGTACCTCCATGACTAATGGATCTCAACGAAGATTAGCAATGGCTGCCAATGTCACTACTATTGGAAATGTATGCCTTATATATATAAAATATGTTACACACACACACACACACACACACACACACACACACACGAAAAAAACCCTTGCATCATCTGTTGAATAGATAGAATTATCTCAGTTCAGATTTAAACAATTATACTATAATAACAAAATCATTGAGAAATTTTAAGCATTAACTAGTTATCTGATTATTTTAAAGAACAGCTGTTAACTTTTAGGTGAGATCGTGATATTGTGGCTGTGTTTTAGTGCTTCAAAATAAAGGGGGAAAGAAGAGCTACAGGTAAGACATAATTAGCCATGAGTTGATAATTAACAACACATCATAATGATAAGTACAAAGAGATTTGTTATGTAATTCATCCTGCTTTTGGTTATGTTAAAAATATTTCATAAGGTTTTTTTTAATATATTTATTGATTTTTTACAGAGAGGAAGGAAGAGGGATAGAGAGTTAGAAACATCGATGAGAGAGAATCATCGATCAGCTGCCTCCCACACACCCCCCACTGGGGATGTGCCCGCAACCAAGGTACATGCCTTTGACCAGAATCAAACTCGGGACCCTTCAGTCCACTGAACCAAACCAGTTCTGGCTATTTCATAAGTTTTAAACAATCACTATATATATATATATATATATATATATATATATATATATATATTTGTATAGAGAGTTAGAAACATTGATGAGAGAGAATCACTGATCAGCCGCCCCCTGCACACCCCCCACTAAGGATGTGCCTGCAACCGAGGTACTTGCCCTTGACCAGAATCAAACCTGGGACCTTTCAGTCCGCAGGCCAACACTCTATCCACTGAGCCAAACCGGTTTTGGCTAAACAATCACTTTTTATAATAAAAGAGCTAAGTAACTTTCCGACACAA